GCTGCAGATGTTTCCGCAAGGGTTGTTACATGGAGTACTGGATCAGAGCAAGAACGATAGAATACAAGATTGCGCATTCCCGCAGAATGACGTTTGTGGCAACGGGTAAACAAAGAATATGGCGAAGAACAATGAGTTGACAGTTGTGAATTTGCAATGAGAAAACGTGTTTTCTTCACAATTCACCAATTTTTCAAGCCATCTTATAGCAAATTAAGCACAACGTTAACAAAAATTATACAACCACTCTTGAAATGTGTTTAAAAGAATAGAAAGAATTTTGTGTTTGTATTGCAGGTGCCGGAAAAGTGATAATATCTTGTCGCAGCGCATGTTTTCCTACAGAAAGTGGTCGATGCTTGCTTACCTCCGATTTTAATTTGTAAATTGTGGTATTTCAACGTTTTCAACTTAACATGTCGTGTTTAAAAGTGGTGCTTTCAATTGTATGTGGGCTGGTGTTGCTGTTTGAGAACTGTGAAGCTGTGGAAGCTTTTGACAAATCTCCAAAGGACCAAAAGGAAAAATCAACTAAGTTGCCGCCTTGTAAATCATGCACTGTGCTTGTGGAATCATTTAATTTGGTGAGTGCGTGGCAGTAATAACAAATTTGTGTCGTATTAATATAAACTTTGCTTACAGGGTTTGGAAAAAATAAGTCGCGGCAGGCATGCCGGTGGTGATGCAGCTTAATTTCCATATTTTCCATAAATGAAGTGGTGCTTTATCATGCGCGGAATGCACTTAAAGGCATGGTACGTCCTCAGAGTTTAAAGATTTGTCAATTCCAAATCAACACGGGCTTCATACCGGAACAAGAAACATTGATAACATTTTCCTCGAATGATCTCGATGATTTTCCGGATGCCGATCAGGTTCCTCATGACTTTTAGGTTTCGCTGTCGTTGAGTTTCACGGATAACGAATTTCCGCCGAGTAGGAGTCCTCCTTGGTTACCAGCAAAGCCCATAAGAAACGCACAACATATATTTAGTTCGCAATTAGAATTCTAGGAAATGGTGGATAATTTCGGCAAGTCCCTATAGTATTTCCGCCCATTTCAATTATTTATTTATTTTCCTTACAACAGTGACAAAACCTAGTTCGATCAACAAACCTACGCCTGTTAGGTCAGCTGCTTCCGTAGATAACGCCTATTTTACCAGATGCTACCGAAATAAAGCAAGAGGATGTACCTCGAATCCAACCTCAACCATCACCACCAATAGACATGCTCAATTTAAACCAGCCCCAACCCCAGCTGCCGGTGCAAGATCCACAAGCCACAACGAGTGACGCTAGTTTCGATTTGCTTGGAGCATTCGGGGATGATAATTCATCTGGCATTGGCTCGGCTCCAATACCTGATATTTTAGGTAAGGATTCGGTAGATTCAAAAAAGTCTTAGACTTTTAGGCGGCCATCCAAATTAATATTTGCTAAGTTCTGAATTGAGACCTACATTTCTATTTTAGAAATTAATGTACAACCAACTTCAAATGTCAACCTTGATGATATCTTCGGCTCAGTTGCTTCATCGGCGCCGAAAATCAACCTGGAGTTTAATAGTTTTTCTGTTAACCAGCCGACACCAACTAGTGCAAACCAACCTGGTGTATTGGTGTGTGTCGCGTCAGTCTCAGCAAAATAGTCTTGCATCAACAACCAGAGCTCAGTACGTCATAGTTATTTTTCTTCTCTGTTTTTGGAAGCTAGTGCAATGAGGTATAGTTTTAATAAACATTTATTCGATTTGAAATTTTTACTACTATAGTCTTTATTTTGCAGTATATTATATACATATATTTGCAGTATATTATATTTTCATTGATCCGCTTAGTTAAGTTTAACTATAACGAAGCAAAATGATGTGTAAAACCAAGTAATTGCTTTTAAATCTAAGTAAAAAAATATACAATTTAAATGATATAAAATTTTAATCTCTTTGTCAACTTAATTGCGGCCCTGAAAAGGGCCTCTTGTTGATTGGTATATATGTATTCATCTAAGCATAAAATTTTAATCTCTTTGTTAATTAATTGGCGGCCCTGAAAAGGGCCTTTGGATAAATCATATTACTTGCCTGCAAATAAATAAGTTTATATTTGTATAAAAGACGCTTGACGATTGAGGACTGGCAGCATACAACGATATTGACTTCGCAATATCCTCTTCCGCCCATTTTCGTCGCTTCGACCCAGACTTCAGCTTCGCTATCTGCCCTTTGGTGAAGATGGAAGCTAGTGCATCTTCCACATTTTTCATTTGGGCAGCCATTTCATCCAAACGTTTTTGCAGTGACTCCATTTTCCATGCGTGTCTCTTCAATTGCAGGTCGGACTCCCGCTTCAATGTAGCGAGCTCGGTGCACTGCTTTTCGGTTTCCTTTTTGAGGTGTGCATTTTCGCGCTTGAATGTATCACTTCAAATAAGAGAAATATAAGATATTATTACATTTACACATAAAGATCTGTTACTTATTAACGTACACTTCCACTTTCAACACTTCCACTTCCTGAAGATCACTATCATAGTAAACACAGTTACGGATAGGTGACGTCGAAGCATCAAGAGTACCGTCCCTGGGCCGATATACTTTATCGCCTTCATTTAAACCAACTAATAAACCACTGACATTAATAATATAATATTTATAGTATAATATCTGCTACCTTCGCAATTTTGTAGCTCAATGATCTCCTCAACGCTGTCATTTTGTGACTTACACACCGGAGCAGGATCTATTTCCCACTCAAAAATGGTTGGCATGGCGTCGCGGCGAAGCGATGGTCGACTAGCAGTTCCTAAGTCTTTTATTAGATATCGACATATATAAGTAATGAAAATAAATGATAGTTACTCATGTAATCCTTATCCGTAAAGTGCTTCATGCATATTACGCTGGTGTCTAAATTGTATGGCTTCTCCTGCCGGCAGAACTCTACCCACTTTCTGGCCAAGGCGTCGTCGCGGGGAAACAAAAAAAAAACTGCATTTAGGGCCTTTACCCCTACGGCTGCTGCAATTCAACACACGACACGACATTTTTATAAAGTTTTTATTACAAATAAAATGTTTTTTACTTCAGAACGCACGAATTACTTCGATTTTTCACTAGAAAATACACAATACGTTTGCAAAACGTTTGCACTTGTTTATAAACAAAAAGTTTGTTTACGTATTGCCATAAACGTCAAAGTCGGCAAAACCAAAGTAGCGGTTTCGGGAATGCGCCACCTTCAGTTCATTACACCATGGGATCAGAGCTAGTTTATTGCATGATAAAAACATTACAAGGTAAAAC